GTATCTTATAAATTATTATATTTTTTGCTCAGAGACATTTTAGCTTAATATAATTAATATAATTATAGCGATAGAGCTCATTAATTCAAATTGAATTTTAAGTTGCATGAAGGTCCAAGAAGTAATCAGTTGAAAGTAAATTTCCCTTTACAACTTAGCAATCATGTGTACACATTTCAAACTGAAATATCATTGCCCCAAAGTGGTAGTCAACTCACCACCCTGTGAATAGAGTTGCTTTTGATTTTAGAATGATCAAAGTGGGCTCTGCTTGTGGAGTAGCAGTTTACAAACCTGTTTCCTCTTTGTAGCAACAACTTTTCGTGATTCTCTTTCTGCAGGAGCTGAACCAAAGAAGTCAAGAGCAGACGTCAGTTTCTGTGGAGTTTCTCTAGGCTTTACTGGGCTGGATAGAGAAAAAAACATTCAGAACTTAAAAATAAACACTCACACAGAACTTACATGTAGTTTGAAACAAATTGACCTACAGTGTAAAGAACAAATTGACCTACAACATTCATGTACACTGTACATATTTTAAGATTCCAAAAAAAATAAACAACTTCTCATAGCACAATTTTAAACAAATTTGCTTGTACTACATAAAAATCTCAAGGAAAGCATTACTGAAAGAGAAACCTTAGTAACTGTTCAAAAGAAAACTAATCACATTGTACCTCTCCTTAACGTGCACAACCTCCTTGCTTGTTTTTGTTTCCATCGGCTTGGCAGATTTCTTTAGCTTCCGAGGTACAACTTCCTCCTCTTCTGCAGAATACCAACAGATACACTTTCAACCAAGATTAAATAAATTTAATACAAACTTGTACAAGATATGTTGATAAAATCCAAGAGAAAAGACCAACGATCTTTTTTTGGAGGGGGGAGGTGGGGGGTGGTTAAATAGCAGCCTTAGCTATTTTTAGAGAGTTGCTATCTTTAACTGGGAACTTGCTAACATTTTGGCAAAAAATTTACAAAGTATTAAAAGGCAGCAATCTGGATTATTGAACAACAAATTTAATTATATTAGAATAGAGAATGGGAGGAATCGACATAAAACTTGTACAACAAAATTAATACCAAAATAAAGTAATGTGCTGCCACTAAAATAGTTTGGTACACAGATTTGATTGCACTGCTCTCTAATTTAACTATATTTACCAGGACAGTGCGGCTTGAGTATAAGCTGCTGCACATGTAAAGAGTAAATTAAACACAATGTACCTTATGCACCATTATTATTTTTGGTAATAGGTAAACTTTACAACCTGGGCTTAAATAGCTGACAATTAATTTGACATAATCCTTTTCAGGCCGTCTTTCCAATTTGAGCAAACACAATGAACTATACACATAGCTTATCTGAGTAAGAATTGTAACCTAGCTCCAAACAAAATGTCAACACATACAATATAATTATGTGCAGCTATGTAGCCTGTCTACAGATTAGTGTTGCTCAGTTCAATTTGAGTGCACAAAAGCTGAGCAGAGATTTTGATGACTGAAGCAGATTAAGTATTTCATTTACAATCAAAGTACTGGAACCAAGAAGCAGACCTTTTTTAGCTCTATTTGAAGGCATGGATTCTTGAATGTCACAATCTAACTCTGACACAGTTGTTTTACATTGTATTTGCAACTGGTATAATGGTTTAATGCAAATTGCACATTTCATCATGCATTTACCAGAGTCCCCAACAGTGATTAGCCTCTTTATCTGGCTTGATTTTGAACCTCCTCCTTTTTTTGCTGATATGGCTTTCCTGCAACAGAAAATGACAAAAATGAACAAAAAAATACCTGGATTAAGGGGAAAGTTAGAAAATGCGCATGGAGGTGAAAGAATCTAAAAGAATCGCATCAAATGACCTGGCTAGTAATCTTCCACTGGAAATGGTTTCCCATAGATAATACATGTAAATCAATAATTCGGTTGAAGGTACATGTAAATCAGGGCAATTGGTTTAATTGAATTATGAATGGCTAAAAAAAACTTGAATTTTCTATGCCCTTCAGACAAGGAGCTTCATATTTTGCTTGTCTTGTTTACTTTTCTTTCCTTTTCTTTTCTTTTATTTAGTTGAAAGACAACTTGCCTGATCCCTTGCCCACTGGGCAAGTGAGAATGTAAAGCTACTGTACTTGTCAAGCAGGAACATCTACTTGTCTGGGATGACCAGATATGCCACTTTTCTTGAGCCACAGGCTGTGGCTACTAAATTATTAGTGGAGATGACTGGCAGCCGTAATGTTGTCTATTGACTTTTCGTCACTCAGCAAATTTATTTGCCTTTGAGTGAGTGCATGACTGTGTATAATGCCATTTTGAAATAAACTTGATTGACACATGTAGGAATACGAACTGTAGGTCTGCAGATTATGATGCAGAATGTACTCCTGTTAACCTTAACCTTTATCATGCGAGAACCAGTGAACTGACCCAACACAAGCTACAGTGTAAATGTACATGTATCAATCCTGTTATCCTAAGCTTAACAATAAAGTACAAGTACAAGAAAGATAGACATTTCCTATACAATATCCTCTCTCAAAAATGATACAAAGCAAGTAACATGTGCATCGAAAGAAAGTGATGTACAAACTTGTTGTATAGTATAGTACAACATGAAATGTGCATGTTGATCATTGACTAATTGCACTAAATGTCCCAGGAAATTAGTAAATGCATGACAAGATGTGTTGAATGTTACTTTAGGGGTAAGATATTGCAGTGTTGACTGAAGGGAGGAAACAGCTTTTGGTTCACGTTATCAAATGGTTGTTAAAGAATCATGGGTTCGACAAAATTGATGGACATTTCAGTATACTAAACTGTTACCTGAGTCAATGCATTTTCTTGCCTTCTTCTTCTGGCTTTCTTTGGGCTTTTGTTTCCTTGTAATCTCATCATCTTCACTACTTGATAAACCCTATCCCAGTAAAATAGCAAAATTGTCTTACTATGGATACATGTAGTTTAAATTGCATGTATAATTTATTTATATTTATACAGCATGTAATTTCTTTAGACTGACATTTTCATTTTTCATTTTATTTATTTATTCCATTCTAAAATTAAAAAGATAAATATAAAGTAGACAAGTAAGAGGAGAAATGGAAAAGGGCAAAAATATAGCAAGCTAATTAGA